ACCCCGCAAATTGCATGAACCATGCATCAACTTGCATCACACAACTTCATGCCCCACAAATTGCATGAACCATGCATCAACTTACATCACACAACTTCATACCCCGCAAATTGCATGAACCATGCATCAACTTGCATCACACAACTTCATGCCCCACAAATTGCATGAACCATGCATCAACATACATCACACAACTTCATACACTACAAATTGCATGAACCAAATGATCACAAGAAATTTTTGAATTTTTTCATTTATGTTTTGTTATCTAATATAACAAGTTTCTAATTTTTATGTCTTAGTTTTGTTAAAAAATATATAATAATAAATATAATACATACATAAAAAGAAATTTAAGACTTACGTTGCTATAGACCTATTTGTACTCAAGAACGCACCAGTATAACTACTTTTTCACATTATGTTGGCTGTTCCAATAATAATTTATGCTGTTTCCAATATGCATTTTAGAACACATGAATATATCAGGTACTGAGACAGAATGTCCCATAACCATTATAATTCAACCAGCCTTCTAGCTGAACTATAAGTAGGTTAAAAAATTCTATTAGATGCCTGGACCAAAAAGCAACAATGATCGCAGACAATGAATCTCAAGGAAAAACTGTGTACGTGGGTGCATGTGTACATGTGTAAGAAATCGTGTAAAGAAATGTATTATTTTTCTATTGAGCATAAATATGTTCAATAGCTATGTCAAAAAAGTATAGACATGTCTTACAAGACAGAGAAATGGAAAGGCATTTCATGTGGGTGTGATAAGTGTAGTGATATCTTACTAAGACAAGAAGATTGGATGTTCAAGTTTTATATTCTGGGTTTTAAATATCTATAATGTATGTTTCTACTTGGATTCTAAAATGGTAAAAAGAAAATCTAAAGTGGAAAACTTAGACACATCACGTGGCACAGAGAAGTAAAAATGGAGAATTTATTTAAATATTTTGTTATGAAACTTAGATAATATAAAAATTCTGATTATAAACTACGTTTTTATGCCGGGCTTACTGACATACATTGATAATAAAGTAGTTCAATCACATTTTGAATGTAACTCTGTAAGAAGGCTGTGATGTGCATTTTGATCTTCCTGTATGCATAGGGTTATTTGAAAATAAATAAAAGAAACTACAACAAAAATTTTCTTTTTTTTACAGGTACTAAACTACTGGTTAAATAAAGAAATAAGAGAACTTGGGGCATAGGTGTAAACTTTAGGTTACAGTAAATGACCCAAGAAAAATATTAATCAGCAGGAAACATTAGAAACCTGATGGGGAAATTTTCCTAGGCTTAAAATGAGGTACTGCTCCTCATGTTCACATGAGGAATGTTTAAGATGTGAAAGTTCATGTTTGTTATTGCAGAAATTTCAGAAGACTGGCTCTTTGACATTACAGCTAGTAATATGTCTTCTTTGTTAAAATCTCTCACTAACTTTGTAGTTTGTCTCCCCAGTATGTATAAAAGGCTGCAAAGGTTACAAACTATGCAATATATAACAAACTCATATAAGTGTGATCTCTCATCATGATTGGCTACAAACTTTAATTTTTTTTATCAGGACAATCAAGATACTCCTGACCTTTCAACTCACACTATACTATGATTAACAAAACTCGTACTCCTCAGTAACACTTTCACATTTAATGGCAAACATTATCATCAAGTCCAGAAAAAGGCATAAAGTTTGTTGTTCGTCATAGTGAGAGATCACAGGTCTATCTGAGTCTGTCATTTACTGTATAATTTGTGTAACCTTTTGTATAATGATGAAATAGATCACAAAGTTAGTGAGAGATTTCATGAACACAGCAGATATATTATCAATGGTAATGTCATTGAGCTAGTCTTCTAACATTTTTGTGATGACAAACACAATCTGTCACATCCCAAGCTAGTTGTTTCAACATCTACTCCAATTGAACATTGAATAGTGCCTTATTTTTATCCTAGACATCTTTTCCCCATCAGGATTAAATGAAAAATTTCCTTACATTTAGTATTTCCATGTGATAATTATTTTTGGGTCCTTTGCAGTATTGTAAATTTTACAACTAGTGCCCTATATTCTTTCGCTTCTTTATTTAGTTTAATACCTGTAAAAAAAAAATGTTTGCTGTATTTTTTTTTACCCTTCTTTCGAAGTATCTTGATTTACTCTCTCATTCACTCCCAATTACCAGATGTATAATCTGTTAAGATAACTTGACCCTGATTCTTTGTTAAAATTATTGTAGGAATTATGAGTCACCATGCCTTTTTTTATAAACAGTTTTTATCTCTGATGATTTAGAATTCAATATTGTTTTAGTTTCTTGATCACCCGAGTATCTTTGATTTTTATATCTTGTTCATTATTGGAACTACATATTATGACAAAGTTCTTTTCATCAACATTTCCATCACATTTCTGATCTATACGTTTTTAGGTATTTGAAGAAGTACCAGCACTAGGCTTCAGATGTTCTTTTATACAATGCTCTTAATGAATTATGGTTGATTTCACATAATCTTACTTAATACCAAAGATTAGCTTGTTTCACAAAAAAGTTGTGTACACCATAATAATTATTGTGTGTAAATAACATCTGAAGTATTGTTGTCTTTTAATATTTGTCATTTAAATATAAATGCGTGTGAAAATATTTTTATTGTCAGTATTCAAGAACGAAGACAGGAGAGATTCCTAGAATCAAGACTGTTGCTCAGATGTTAGAGGTAGGTTTAATCTGCGTACTGCCACTGTACAGGTTTTATGTTATCAACTCTGTTTAAACCTGTGAGCTATTTCTAGGTGTTGAGGGCACACTTGCATTTGAAATTTCAAAATTTAAGTAAAAATAATAATTTAACTCTTATTTCAACAACTATTGAACCCTTGGGCCTATGGCCCACATTTACAGGGCCACTATAATGCAAATTTACTGCTTGAAGTACTATATTGCACTGTTTCAGTTTAAGGATCATTACTGCTATGATGCAAAATTTTATTTCTTTAACCAAGTTATGAATGGTAATTAGTAGGCCTAATTATTTACGTGCTCTAATGTAAATCAATACAATTTGGAGTCCCACTTTCAGGGAATTCTTGTAAAAGTGTTTTCGTGAAACACCCGGGTTCTCTAAGGGGTTGGGTGAAAAGTTTTATTTTTGTACAAACCTCAGGGCTGAGACAATTTGTTTGACACCATTTAGAGAACCCATGGGCCTGTGGCCCACATTTTCAGGTCTACTATAGTGCAGGTTTAATGCTTGAACTACTAAATGTGCTCTAATGTAAATCAATGCCAAATTTGGGGTCCACTTTTGGAGAATCCCTATAAGTGTTTTTTAGAAATGCCTGGGTTCCCTAAAGGGTTGGACAAAAAGTTTTACCTTTGTGCAAACCTTGGGTTCTAGACAATTCCTTTGGCATCATTTAGATGTTGGTGAGTCTAGAAGTTTAGGAGAAGGAGTTTCAGGAAATACCTGGGTTCCCCAAGGGGTAAGGTGAAAAGATTTACTTTTGTACAAACCTTGGGACCGAGACAGTTTGTTTGGTACCACTTAGAAGTCAGTGTGGCCAGTACTAATTACACCAGGTTTTTCTGAATTTTGAAAATTAGGATATAGGCATTAGTTGACAATTCAGTGAAAAAGAGGGAAATACTTGCATTAATTTGTAAGGAAATAAATTGTTGTACAGTAGCATGCCATTGTTTTACTATAGATATTTGATGATAATTTTTTGTACTTACTGTTATAAGTTTGACTGAATGATTGCATTATTTCATGTAGTATTGCAATGATGTAAATATTGAGTAAACTTGGATTAAAGAAAAACCTGGAATACCAGAATAATATTAGACAGACCATGATTAATTACAAAACTTTGTGAATGTACTGTCTTTCTGAGAGAGTCAAAGTAAGAATTTAAAGTTACTAGATAAGGGATTATTGGCTAAAATGATTTAAAGTTACTAGATAAGGGATTATTGGCTACCCTGATTTACAGTTAACAGGTAAGGGATTATTGGCTACATTGATTTACAGTTACTAGGTAAGGGATTATTGGCTACACTGATTTACAGTTGCTAGATAAGGGATTATTGATGAAACTGATTTACAGTTAACAGGTAAGGGATTATTGGCTACCCTGATTTACAGTTACTAGATGAGGGATTATTGATGAAACTGATTTACAGTTAACAGGTAAGGGATTATTGGCTACCCTGATTTACAGTTACTAGATGAGGGATTATTGATGAAACTGATTTACAGTTAACAGGTAAGGGATTATTGGCT